AACAGGTCATAATGTCAATAATAATAATAACTGAAAAGTCATTAATTGGGTCAAAGGTTATTTTGAATTCTATTTGCCATTTAAAAAGGAATGAAAATCACTACTTTTTGAAGCTCAAAGTATTCATTCCAATATTTTAGATATAAATTGTTTTTCTTAAAGCATTCCTTAATTGCATGGACGTTCATAAAATTTTGACATGTTTAATGTTGTTCAATGCCAAATGCTTTACATGGATTCATAAACAACCGGAATTTAGAGTCATAAAGACTTTTGAGTAATGAAAAAAATAAAATTTTTCTTACACTATTTACATTGTTCAGACTGTTATCCTCATCTTTGTTGCCATATTCATGATTTTTTTGGCCATTTTATGCTCTGGCTTTCTTCAGGTGATTTAAATTTAAAAAACTGAACCCTTTATTTTGTCCACCAGCGTAGATTGTTCTAGTTCCATTTGCTACGCCTCTTCTGGATATCTCAGTACCAATTATCTCCCTTTAACTCAAAACTCTCCAAGTTTTTGTTCACCTCAGCTGTAGCCAGGTATTGAACTCACAACTCTGTTAAATCAAATCACTGGATTCAACCAACACTTTTATCCACTGAGCCATGTTTCTTTGAGGAAGAGGCATGGCACATAGAACTAGAACAATCTACCTGGTGGACAAAATAAAGGGTTCAGTTCAAAATTCCAATCACCTGAAGAAAGCTGGACTGTACAACGGTTGAAAATTGTGAAAATGGCAATGATGATGGGGACAGCAGTCCGAACAATGTAAATTTTGTAAATAATTACAATGTCTCATCTCAGAAATATAGACAGATATAACAAAAATTGTTTCAATTTTTGATGAAGAAAAACAAAAGTGGAAATTGTTAAAATTCTTATAAGACAATCATACAATCAAGACATTTGTATCATCTTAATTAAATACATGCCAAGCAATAAAATAATTTTAACATTGTTTTTTTGACAGTCATGTGAATAAGGTTTTTCCATCTATATAATAAATTTGAATGATGTCAATCCTTAATTCAGATCTGGTTCCTTTCACATTTTGTATCTGTTCAATACCAACAGATCAATACTTATGGTTTATATACTGCAACTATGCTGAGCAGACCTTAGTTACAGTTTCTGGGAGAGAGCATGTTATCTAACATGATCCACAATTTGAACAAAGGCCAACACACACAAACCCTCAGTCACAATGACTAGTGACTTCATAAAAGCAAAGCTAAAGACAGCCCCCCCAAGTGTTCCATCTACCCAATTTCACTCACATGGCTTGGGTCAACCCATGACATGATTTTCAGGCACTTTACAAAGGTGCCATATGCTGGGATCATCCCCCTCTAGACTGATAACATCAGGAAATTCCTTCCTGATAAATAGTGGTAAGATTTGAACTCAGGTCTCATAGTCAGAAAGTTTAACATTCTAAACCATTTTGGAAAGCCACACACCCTAAATTTTGTTTGTATGTATGTATGTATGTATGTATTTCCCTAATGTCTTGAAATGTTGTTCCTTTCAAGTGGGCTTTGATTTTTGAAAAGAGACAAAAAAATGATAATGGGTGAGATCTGGAGAATATGGTGTTTGTCAAACCAGGAGAATGTTATTCTTGGCCATGTTTTGCTGCACAAACTGTGATGAATGGCCAATGCATTGTCATGATGGAGTTGCCACTCACTGGAAACATGCAATTCTGTCCTTTTCCAATTAACAGCATCCCACAAATTAAACACATCACAGTAATACTCTATGTTTATTGTCTGACCAAGTGGAGCATACTCATGATGATCAATGTCCTTGTAAGTTGAAGAAAACTATCAACAGTGTCTTCACATTGCTTTGATACTCATTCATGCTTTTGGGTCTCAGAGACGTTGAGGTCTTCCACTGCAAAAAGACCAAGCCTTGGTTTCATGGTCATAGCCATAGACCTATAGCATATAAGATGGCATAAAAGATGCATGAAGAGAAAGGCAAATTCATTATATATTGCTAATCTGTAGAAATTAAGGTTGAATACTGACTTATAGAAAGATCTTTGTCTTGTGTATAGAGTACAGGGTATTTATTTTTTTTGTTTTGTCATTTTTAAATAAATAAAAGGTGTTTATTATATGACACTAAATATGGTAAATTGTAAAAATACTATATATATATATATATATATATATATATATATATATATATATATATATATGAAGAAATATAGTTTTAAGGTGTGCTATATTTATGGGATAAAGTGCTCAATATCAGAGATAGAGCGTATGTAAATATATAAGTCAAAACTCATGGACGACAAGCTGTTTCATGCTAAATGCAATTGTCAGGCCTGATGATTGCATCTAGCATGAAACAGGCTGTCATGTCTGAGTGTTGACTTCAATGCTCACTTATATATATCATATAAATTCTTCAGTACCTTTCTCAAATGATTTTACAAACATTTTATACTTTTTAAAGTAAATTTTTTTTTTTAGTTTTTTTGATATTTCCTTGTGGTCTAAAAAAAAAACAAAAAAACATATTTCTCTTGAAAAGCTTTAATAAAAAAAAAAAAACAAAAAAAACTTGCAATATAAGACATAAGAAAAATTAAAAATATAGAGAATAATTATGAAACAGAAAGTTGTTAATTCCCTATGATTTATCTTGGGAAAAGGTTTTGGTTGTTGGCCAAAAACAATCAAATATGGTAAAATAATTTAAGCACTTTGTCTCTATAGACAAGCATAAAGAATGAAAACAAAACCATTTTTTTCATTTATATCATTCATAGATGCTGTGTTTGAAATCTATTTATAGCATTCATAATCATTTTGCAGTCATAGGAAACACACAAGCACATTAAAATCAATTTGTTTTTAATCATTAAATTATTTTTTAATGAAAACAAAATATTCTTTGACAAATTCTATCAACAAAAAAATGTTCAAAAATATTTACTTTTACACACTGCTGTTAAAAGTTTTGAAAAGCTCAAAACTGTATGGACTGAAACAAAGATTTCATGAACAAAATGGTTATAATGACAAATAACAACACTAATTATGGGTTCATTTTGTTGTTTATTTATTTTCATCAGAATACTAAATATACAATAAAAGTGTATAATTGCCTTACATTGTTTTGCTTTAGTTTTTGCAGAAACTCAAAAATCTGACTTGTTTACAAACTTATTGTTGCTTCTTTAATGGTCGAGCAGAAAGAAATGACAAGTTTTTTTCAATAATTAAATAAAATGAATTAAAACATAACCTCAAAAGAACAAAAAATATGTAACTTTAAATAAGCAACAAAAGACATAGTAAACTGGAAAAATCCCTGATAGTCATCAGAAAATTTTTTATGCTTACTAGAGAAGGGGCACAAAGTAATGTCACATCAGTAAAACAAAACCAGTGAAATGGTTTCAAATTCCAGTTGCTTACTGTTAGTGTCATTTTATACTGATGCCTTTAAGAGAGACATGAAAATTGAATTTTCTTTTTATTTTGTCTCATCTTCAGTCATCCAAATTCTTTTTCTTGACATCATAATGAAATATCAAAATCTCTCTTAGAGTAATCTGAGAGAGATATCAGATTATTCGGCTAAAAAGATATTTTCCCTGCTTGTCTAAAAATTTTCTTCTGATTCATCATTGATTTTTCAAATGAAAAGCATTTGTTAAATGACAGCATGATTTTCTTGGCTATTATTTAGTAGGCACTGATGTGACATGATATTGGAAAATGCATTTTAGCGACACATGTGGTCTTATTGTGCCACAAAGTGCAAATCTGATATGGCACATCTCAAAAATGGTGACAAGACTAATTTGCATGGTGCTACTTGACACCTATGAACAAGCATCACAGCACTAAAATGCCAATAAAAAAAGAGAAATAAAAAAAAGCCTGGAACTCATCCAATTTGGCAAAGCAAAGAGTCTGAATGTCTAAACTAATGAACAAGTGGCTGAAGAAGCTTCAGCATCATTCATAAAAACTGAAAGAGTAAAAAAAAACAAAGAAATAAAAAGAAAAAGTTAATTTAACCTCCTCTTTTGCTTACTACAAATTTAATTTCCAAATTTTTAAAAAACTAAAAATATACAATTTGAAATAATCAGATATGATTGTCTTACATTGGAATATATCATCTGATTCTTCTATATGCCATGTTCCTTTAGAAAGCGGGTGATCATGGCTCACCCCAATTTCCTGTTCTTTGTAGTTCTTAGTAATTTTTTTTCGTTTTGTTATCTCTTCTAAACCCTGTACTGCTAATGATTTACACAAGCTCATTAGATTATGAAGTTTTCCTCTGGCCCTCTTGCCTTCAATATGTCCTGTGAGTATCAAATTTTCTAAGCCCTGTTTCTTTTTGCTTTCATTAGGTGCCCTAGAAATTTCAACTATCTCTTTCTGATGTTAAGAGATCTGGGTAAGAGATAATACACATCTGGGGAAGTGATAAAGTGGATCTGGGGAATGGATTTTGAGAAGAGGTAAAGCAGATCTGGAAAAGTGATGAAATGGATCTAGAAAAAAAAAAAAAGATGAAGCCTACCTGGAGAAGAGAGAAAGCAGATCTTAGCAAGAAATAAAGCAGATCTCGGGAAGAGATAAATTGGATCTGGACAAGAGGTCTGAGGTAGAGATATAACACATGTGGAGAAGAGGTAATATACATCTGGAGGAAAAATAAAGCGAACTTGGGGAAGAGACAAAAGCAGAACTGGAGAAATGATAAAATTTATCTGGAGAAGAAATAAAGCAGATCTAGAAATAGATCTGGCAAAGAGATAAAGCAGACCTGGGGAAGAGCTATAACACATCTGGAGAAGAAAGCAAATCTGTGGTAGAAATAAAGTGTATCTGGAGAAGAGAAAATACACATCTGTTAAAGTGATGAAGCAGATATCAGGAAGTGATAACGCACATCTGGAAAATAAAGCAGATCTTAGGAAGAGATAAATTGGATCTGGACATGTGACCTAGGGAAGAGATAGAGCAGATCTGGAGGAGAGATGAAGCCAATCTGGGGAAGATATACCACATCTGGAGAAAAAAATGAAGCAGATCTGGGACGAGACAAAGTGCATATCATAAAAAGATAAAATTGATCTGGAGAACAGATAAAGTGGATCTAGTAACAGATCTGGTAAAGAGATAAAGCCTATCTGGAGAAGAGAAAGCGGATATGGGAAAGTGATAATGCACATATGGAAAAAACATAATACACATCTGGAGAAGAGATAAAGTGGATCAGGGAAAGAGATAATAAACATCTGAAGAATAGATAAAATGAATCTGGAAAAGAGATGAAGCCGATCTGAGGAAGAGATAAAATAGATCTGGGGAAGAAATAAAGAATATCTGGAGAAGCTATATGGAAACAAATAAATATCTGTAGAAGCAATAAACAGATATGGAAAAGAGATATTACACGTCTGGAGAAGGGATAACACATATCTAGAGAAGAGATAATACACGTATGATAGAAATAAAGCATAGAGGATAATACACATCTGGAGAAGAAATAAAGTGGACTTGGGGAAAGAGATAAAGCAGAGATAAAACAGACCTGGAAAAGAGATAGTGGCGGATCTGGGGAAGAGTTAGAACAGCAGATCTGGGGAAAAGATGGCTTACATCAACAAAGGACCTTCACAGGCTGTTGAATGAAAGAATGAAAATCATGAGATGATCTGATTGGCTTCAATTTCAAATTTCTCATAATTATAGTGTTGATAAAACATTTTATTTTGTGCAATGCTTAGTTTCTATTGTAATTAATAAAAACTTTTAATTGTTTAATTACTGAATTAAGCACATTGAATCAACAGAATTAGCTGCTAAACACATTACTTGTTAACTCAATATCATTAATCAGAATCATTCGATTGTTGCTTTAGGTCAAACTGTTCTTCAGTCATTTACTTTCTTGTTTGTCATCTATAATCTAAAAACTTGCTTTAATTCCCCACCTACTCAATTCATTTTCCCCCCAATACCTTTCATCTATTTTTCTATAAACATGTTCTTTTGGGTGGGTAGGTTTATGTGGGTGGTGGTCAGGTGGGAGCAGGTGTGGGTGGGACTGAATTTTTACTTCTTACCAGCTTTCTAAAAAAAAAAAAATTCTTATTCTCAGGAAATTTAAATCGTAAATCCTTCATTCCACCATTACTTGTTTTTGATTAATTACCTCAATTTCCACATTTGATATGCAATCATTAACACACATTTACTTTTTACACTTATTTTTTCCCAGAATCCTGTAGGAAAAAAGAAAAAAAACAAATCTCAACAAATGACAATTTTTTTTTTTGGGGGGTGGGGTGCAAAGTAATCACTTTAAATGTTTGATCTTTGTATATATATATATATATATATATATGTCATCCACAGAAACTGTTTCGCTGTTTCACAGCTCTTCAGTGTGGCTAGACATCCAGTTGCCTCTAGCTAGGATCGAAACCTAACTGAATTGACATCAGTCGGAGATTCTACCACTAAGCCGTTGGCACACAGCAAGGATGAAGGTGAATTTTAGTGTATTGATTTTTAGATAAACACACAGTGACCGACAGGATTCAATTCGCATTTGCTGAAGAGTCTCACGATATCAGCCATAATAGTCACTGTTTACAAACCCACACTTCCCAGAGAGCTCAACCAAAATTAATTTTAAAATCAAACTTTTTAAAGTGGGTTATTTAAAGTACAAACGTGTTGATTATAAGAAAAATTCTTTTTTTTTTGAGTGAATATTACATTAACAATGTTTTGAGAATAACAATGATTTTTCCAGATAGAAATCCTATTATTTAGCACATAGAGGAAATGGGGGAGGAAATGGATTCATACCTTTCCCAAGGGTATTTGCACATAAGTGAATGTAATGAACCCAACTGGTATTTGAACTCAGGTCACCAATTTCTCATTGTGAGCCACAATCCATTATACCACTGTTGTAACCTAGGGAAGGTTACTGAATAGAATAATCACACAAAGGTTGGTAATGAACAATAATATATAGGACAAGAACAACACATTTAAGATTCATCAGCAGCACATAGAAGTAGTAGTCAACTGCTAAAAGTGAGTCAAGTGAATTCCACAATGAATCTCCAACTGCAGGATATCTACTAACCGCCCCACACAGTCAGATGTGGCACAAGGCCAAATTTAATGTTGGGTATCTGAGCCTGTATGCGCGGCCAAAAATTCCCCTTAGATTCCATATAAAACAGGGTCGGGTAGCTGTTTTCCCTGAGATGAGAATCTGTCCTTTGACATAGCTTCATCTAGGGATACTCTTTGTCCGGAGGCAGAGAGTTTGACCAGCACAGCTGGAGACAAATCTCCAACTACAGACCAACATACAGTATTTACTACTGTATTTATGTGAATGGGGACATACTCATTATTGTCCATAGGTATGCTACAACCATCACCTTCAGTACAGGAAAATTTTGATTTAAAAATTATAAACTGAATAAAGTTGGAGCAAAGAAAGAACACAAAACAAAATAAACCAGTAAACAAAATTATCATGACAGCTAATGTGGATTAATCTTCATGCCTTTGGAAAAAGCCTGAATCCAAACTTCCCTTATCCTATTGCTAGTCATATGAATATCATATCATTTATGGTGGAATGTAGAAAGAGAAAGTGAGGGCAATCCTGTGCAAGTCTCTGCTCTCTTTATAGCTTTTCAAGACGTGAGCAACTATTCCAGGAAATGAGCTTGATGCCAACATCTGATCAAATGATAGCAATTTAAATTTTTAAAAAGGAAATTGCATATGTAAACTTGTAATGATATATCTTATATTAATAAATTCATTTTAAACTTATTAAAATGACAAACATAGGAGAATTTACAAAATAATGAAGTATATTTTGAACAATAATGTTTTTTTAATAAATAAAAAATTAAAACAATTATACATATCTCAAGTCTTGCCTTAATTTCTGCCTTTTTTTTTTAACTTATTGTTCACTCAATACAAAACCCAAGAGCCCCTCAAGGTAGGAGGTTACTAAATTGGAATGTTTTACAGGTATGCAGGGTGAGAAGAAGGATTGCATATTATGAGGAGATGTAGGATAGATAACAGTTGATTTGAAGAGGCTATGATTGTAGTGACCAGGGAAGCATCCTCTTGGGAATCCTTTCCAACAGTTCTAGGCAATCACAACAGTTCTAGAGAAGTGTATATGCCACTGTGTGTCCTAGCTGTAAAGTCCTGTAGTAGTGGAATGAAGGAATGTAATTCACCCAAACATCAGCCACGAAAATAATGAGAGTAGTGAGAGGTTAGCATCTGTGGGAAAGTGGTTGAAGGGCAGAGGTTAGTAACTGTGGGAAAGTGGTTAAAGGGCAGAAAACAATTCATCACCCACAAGGCCATGTAAACACTTTTGAACTTTGTTAAGGCAAGAAAGTGAGGGCTGACAATTATTTTTTTTTTGATTTTTCATGATCCTTTGTGCTATTGCTATCTATGCCAGGGAGTGATGAAGTGAACCATCATCATTTCAAAGAATGGGATGTACATCAGTTTTTTTTTGTTTTTTTTTTTGTTTATTTTGGCACACAGGCTCTGGCCCACTTTCTCAAAATCCCCTCCAAGATCAATCAGCAAGGTGGAATCCAGGATAGCTGGTGACTTACCTGACAAGGCTTTGTTACAAGAAATGCCCTTATCATACTTATACGAATATATACACCAAACACCAAAAACAGAATTTTCCTTCATCTAGCTGATGAAAAATATATGTATTTCTGTCTTTCCCAAGGCTATAAGTGCAAAATGAATACAATTTGAATTTAGCTTGCTGATTCTCATTTCTATACTGATAGCCCACATGTTACCTTCACATCCACAGATTATGTAAACAGTGTTTAAGGTTTTAGTTATTTTTTTATAAAATTATCACATTTTACAGGTTAATAATAATACTACATTGACACAGATGATAGTCAAGAATATGGAATCATTGTGAACTTCATAATCTTGTCAATGATTGCATAGTAAGTCCTCCTAGACTGGCTACCCTACTATATAACCCATACATGAGGGGATAAAAAATGGATTTGTACCTTACACAAATATATTTGCATGAAAGTGAATGTAATGAACTCGACTGGAAATCAAAACTCATCTCAGTAATTTCTTGTTCCAATCTGCTATCCACTATACCACCCAGACATATATTTACACATTTTTCATTTATTAAAAATCAAAAGCAGATAAAAGAACAATAACTATAAATTAATTTTATAAGTATATAAAGTTTATAATGACTTATTTTCTTAATTTGTGTCTTCAGGTGCTAGAATCCTTAATGATTTACGTTGAATACAATTTCAGCAAGTACAATACAGATACACATAAATCACTGGTTTTCTTGTTTTTAAAACAATTTTCATTTTCTCCAATTTTAACCATTAAGCAAACTGAACCTCTGGTCGATTGCTATATCTTAAGTCTTAGTCTCAGTATAATTACATTTTCTTGCTTAATATTCTATAGATTTGTCTCAAAATGCATTTTAGAAAATTATGAATGTTAGAAACATAATGCACATTTTGAAGAAGGATTAAAATGCGTAGACATTGCAGTGTGTTTTATGGCGCTAATTAAACATATTAATTTTTCTCTTATCGTAAAAATTAACATGATTAATATGTGAAGGTAATATAAAAATTTTCTTTTTTAATCATTTCACTCCAAGTAAGGCAAGGGATTAATGAGAGTGAAAGAATATGAAAAAAAGAAAATCTTATTAAGGAAAAAGAACAATAAAACAGGAACTGAAAAGCCAGAAACAATTATTTTATTTTATAATTGTTTCTCTGAGGAATGCCTTTGCTAATCTTAAGGTAAGATTTACTTAGATTTAAAAACTGTGATACACCCTCAGATTAAGAACTCATCAGTTTACAGTTGAGTTGGCTAGATGTAATCATAAATTCTAAGCTAGCAGTTTTTTTTCCTCACACTTCTCACTTGTAGAACTCCCTTTCAGTTCCATGTTTTCCAGCCAACTTTAATCTTCAAAAATTTAAATGCTACGCCAATCGTTATCTACTGTCCTCCTGATTACTCTTTTTGTTCTTGCTCATTAGTAATGTTTCTGTTTCTTTTACATCCAGTAACCCATTGTGTCTTAGTGGATGTACTGCTTTGCATAGAGTTAACTTGATTAAAAAAGTAAAAAGAAAGTCTGGTACTATCAAATCAAATGTTTTAGATTTTTCACCATTCTAAAGTTGAGGAATGAGTTGCAGAATGTGTGGAACAAGGAGTAGGAATCTTAAAGGGAAAAAAACTGCTAAGAGACACAAGGGATAGGAAATTGTAGAGAACCATGATCACTTATGTCCTGAATGGGTGTGGCACACGGAAGTAGAAGAGATGTAAAGCCAATTTCTCTTGAAAAATCAATGAAAGAGAATCCTACCAAATGACAGAGCCTCAGCCTCATTTTCTATTGGCAAAAACCAAAAATAGGTCACAGTACAAATCCAAGTCATAACATCAAACAATTGATAGTGGTAAACAGTCATGACTTGCAAAGATTATGTCACAAGATAAAAGCTAAGTCTAGACTTCTTGATGACCAAGTGAAAAAAACTCCAGATGAATTAGATCAGAAGTGCTTTGTTGGAAATCTTCATAAGGCA